TATTTCATAAAATTTAATTAATGAAATTTGATTATTTAATCCAATTGAATTCAAAAAAATATTTGTCCTGCTAAATAATAAAACAAATTTATAAATTTGAAACTAATAAAGAAACATGTATTGAATGCTTAACTTAGATAAATAAAGGCAAAAAACAGAAACATCAAGAGCAAAATGTGAATAACATTTTTGAAAAGCAAGAAAATGCTATTGAACTTAAAGATATCAAAAATTTAGTTTATAAAAACCTTATAGATAATGTAGAAAAAGAGAATGTATAAATAGATCTTAATACAATTATAAAATTTTCAAATCAAAGTAATAAATTAGAAAATATTAATGAATTATATACAAACTTAATAGTAATTGAGATTATAAGACTTTGTGAGAAAAGTGATAGATATTCTTATATATACTATAAGAAACATTATATTTAGTAAACAAAAAGTACAATGTTTACTTATTGGTATAATTGCTATTAAGAGCTTAAAAAAAAACAAAAAAGTTTTAAATAATTCTAAACAATATAATACAAAGTTATGATTAGATTGTTATGACTGCAAATGTGCTATTCTTGTTAGGATTAATTTACAAACCAAATTAGTCTTAGTAAAGTTAGATTATGCTTACTTACATTCATGTTTATAGTATATAGGTATTACTGATGAAATTAAGATATATCATATTTTGCAGTCTAAAGTACTCTCTTAGTATGAATTTTTATTGGCTCATGCAGATATTTTTATGATGTATATTGGGTTTTATTTTGTGTAACTATTACAAATTTAAAGTAAAAAAAATTGTGAATAGTACATTATACACCTGATATATACCATGAAAATATTCACATGAGCTGATAAAAATTCATATTAGGAGGATACTTTAGACCATAAAATACAGTATCATCAGCAAAATTTTTAAGCAGATATATATCAATATATAGCATTAAATCGATATATATTGATTGAAAATAATTGATATGTATCGATTAATTGTTATATATCGATATATATCACTAATGATATATAACGATTATCGATATATAATGATTATAAATGATTATAATTACTATCGATAAGTAACAATTTGTATAAATTTTGTTAAATTTTCTTAAATTTTGAATTTAGTTTTCTCAATAACTAGTAATTCAAATCGATTGAAATTTTTATTGTAAATAGTGTATACATTCAATTATATTATACTAAAGTTTTAGCCAATTTGAATTAATCGTTCTTAAGAAATTGCTTGTAAACGATAGTTGATTTTTTTAAAAAAATTAACTATCATTTACAAGCAATTTTTCAAGAATGATTAATTCAAATTGACTAAAACTTTATTATAATATAGTTAAATATATACACTATTTACAGTAAAAATTTCAATCGATTTGAATCACTAGTTATCGAGAAAACTAAATTCAAAATTTAAGAAAATTTAACAAAATTTTGTTATATATCATTAGTAATCACTAACAATGATACTCAGCAGGGGTGCTATATATTGTTAGTAATCTAGAGATTACTAACAGTATATATCACTTTTAAAATTTTCCTGATAATATTAAAGAAAACTTAATATATTTTGCATCTAAGTTATATAAATAAATTGTTCTTGAAACAATAAATGAATATGAATTATTTACTATTAATTAAGCATTTTATTAGTAGTTGCATCATGCTGTTATAAAATATCAAAGAGCAAATAATTAACTTCAGTTAGCCAAATTGTTATTAAATAAAAAAAATTATAAAATTATTTTAGAAATAGATAATCCAATAGATGTATTTGTTTTTATAATACTATTTATTAATAAATTGTCTAAAATAGTTTTTAAAACTTTGTTTATTAATATCATCTATAATATGACTAAGCTTAAACATAAACTTTATTTAATTTTAGTAGTTTTTGATAATATAGAATTTCTAATAAGTTATTTATATATTTTAAATGACAAGAATGAAAATATATATATGATTCTGACAAAATGGTTTAAGGCTATTTCAAATATAAACATTAATAATATAAAAATATTACTGTTTAATAAAGATTTTTTACAAATCTTTAGTGCACAAGCTATTTGAAAAGATATAAGAGTGCAATTATATAAATAGTATGTTAAACATACTAGTAAACAAAGACTTTTTTTAACTAAAAAAGGAAATAATATTTGTTATGATACTAATAAGATATATAATAAAAGTTTTGTAATTGATTTTATATAGAATGATCAAAATATAGATACTAATTTATGCAATAACAATAAAGATTTTCTCAAAGTTGAATTAAGAAAATATGTATTAGATTTTATAAAAACTTATTTTTACTAACATATGTTAATATCTATTGCAAATAAAGTATTTATTATATTATCTTAAGAAATATAGGTACAAGCTGTTTATAAAATATTCAACTATTGTTACCAAAAAAATTTATTATATGTATGGTTATACTTGTAAAATGAATGATATTGTTAGAATAGGTGATCACTTTAGGCATTATCTACGTTACAAGATATTTTAATAATTTGAACTACTATAATTATTTAGTCTCATTAGTATATTCTAAAAAGAGATTATTTATACAAATATAATCAAACTCATATTGATCTTGTCTGTTATATCTTAGTTGAAAAATTATTACTTATCTAATTACAATGATATAAATTACTTTTACAAGAAAGAATATTGTTGTCTTAGCATATTGATTTCAAAAATGAATATCAAAAACTTGCTATATATTCAATTAAAACTACAAACAAATATCTAACAAACAATGAATATTAGATATGTTCTTATTTCTATTTTTTTAAAAATAGATTTTATTTATATAAACATCTTATTAGTCTTTTAGGAAATATGATAACCTTATTTTTTAGAAAGATTTGATAAGTTATTTTTATATTATTATATGTATTATATTTTAAAAATATATATATATATTAATTCATAACTGTCAATTTAGGTTTAATGAAATCCATATTGTTTATTAATTAAAAAAGCTGAAATAATCATATAGAAAAAAATTCACATATCACATAATAATATACAATTTTTTATAATGATTACTTCAACTGTTCTTAACAATAATGATAATAATATTATAGAAAATGATGAATCAAGTGAAGAAGAAAATGAATTAGAAATTATTAATCAATACAAAAAAACTCTTTATGAAGTATAACCTATTTATTGTTTTTATCAAATTAAATTATTCAACATAATTAATAAAATATCTAAATTTAATACCAATACTATTTTAATATGTATAGGTGCTTGATCTTTTTGAAAAGTCACATAGCCTTTCACAACAAAAAAAATGGTTGAAAAATATTGAGTCAAATTTCATGCCAATTCGAAAGATGATAGATGATATAAAAAAACTAAACCAAGCAAATAACCTTCCAAAAACATGGAACACACGTAATAAAAATACTTTTTATTGGTAAACTTAGATTTTATGAACATTTTATAATATAATTCGTAAGTTAGGTAACAATAGTTTACCAAATAAATTTCGAATAAACACTTTTATACAATATATAAAGTTAGGTAATAAATGTTTACCAAATAAATTTCAAATAAACACTTTCTTGACGCAATAAAAATTTCGAATAAACACACGCAATAAAAAATTTCGAATAAACACTTTTCTTGACGCAATAAAAAATTTATATTAAAGTTCGTATATAATAATTTTTATATGTCGTTAAACTGTCGGGTTACAGAATCAGATTTAAACGTAACTGATCGTGGTGGTTATGCTAGGGGGGTTACGTATATATAATATACATTGAAACGGAATTATTGTGGATTTAAAGTCAGCTTAGGTTGAAATGGAATTCCAAGTTGATATGAAATTTAAAAGCAACCTAAGTTACCATCTGAATATTCTTGCATAAAACTTGACTATCATAAAATTTAAAAACTTATAGATTCAAAATGTGCTTTTTGATATTCATTAAACAAATATTTATATAAAAAAATAATTAATACCACATAAATATTCCTCTAGCATATTATAATTACTTTAAGCAAGGCAGACATTTTTAAAAGAATATTCTGGGGGTTATTGCATTTTGTAAAAAATTCCATTTATGTAAAGTAAAAGAATCACCACACAATTACCAATTAATTATACTACATTCAACTTTTTTGGTAGTCATAGACGAACCAAATGGTACTAAGATCGGTACTAAGATTATTTGATTCCGATAGCTGAATTGTAATATATCTTCATTTAAACAAAGATTTAACACCAATTTTTCTACTCAGAAAATGTCTACGTACGGCAGAAATAACGCGGTCCATGAATTTAAAAGGTTCGAATATCACCAAATTTAGACTTGAATAACTTAATTCGAGAACCTGTTTTAACTTAAATAGGAAATCTTGCTTATCTAAATAAAGATATCTTATCATTAACAGTAATCTGAGTCTACGTAACGATCTTACTCTATATCACAAAAAAGAGTGAAAAATCATTCGAATCTCATATAATTGGAACCCTGCTCTAGATGTAAAGATTTGAATGATATCAAATCACTCGATTCTGTGACATAATGTTACATAATGTTTTCTTTCTACCTTAAATAGTAGGGGTTTATTGTTATCCAAAAGGAAGTCGATATTTGATGGCGTGGGAGTTGAGACAGCCATTTTCATTAGATGACTTGTTAAAAATCGTCAAACTTTGCTTCGTTTATTTAACTAAAATAAATTTAACTAAATCAATAAATGAGGTTAACGTAAATATTAGAAATATGATCTATGCCCGGGTCCTTAATGAATCAATCAAAAGTTGATTAATGAAAGAACTGGCTTTTTTTTTATCATTTTAATTGGAAATAATGATTCGAGAATCTGTAGTTAAAAATTTTATACTGTAAAATTTTCTTTAAATAACCACCTCTTTCGCCTTCGTCTCTTCATCATTTCTTATTTCAAACTTTCTTCATAAATAAGAACATCATTAAAAACATTTTTGAAAAATCTTTTAGCAGTATGTCGTCTAAGACCGAACAAGTTATTTGCATTACTTCCTGTGACCGTTATTTGGGAAATGGAATCGCTCGCGTCTTACTTAATGACAGGAAGCAGCATGGTCAAAAGTATCAAGTTCGCGTTCTCGCACGTGATATCTCTAATCTGAACGAATTCAAAAACCTCGGTGCTGAAGTTATCCAAATTGATTATAATAAGACTGAGACAATTGAACGTGCTTTAACCGGTTCTTTATGGGTTCTTTGGGTCCCTGAGTCGGATAATGACCGTCTTAACTTGGCCAAAATTTTTGCGGATGTACATACCTTTTTTTTTTAAACCAATATATTTTTGATTTATTAGTCTCATAATAACAAATACTTCCCCTTGTTAAGGCTTGTAAAAAAGTTAGTGTAAGAAACTTGCTCTTTGCTTCAATACTTGGTGCTGATGACGCCGATGAAAAATGTCTTCGCGAATTCAGGGAGATGGAAAGAAAAGCCGAGTCCGTTGTTGATAACCACTGTATCCTCAGGTAAATATCTTTCTTGTTTTCATTATATTATTATATTATTATTATTATTATTATTCATTTTTAATCTCAAAATACGCGTTTTTTTCACAGATCTGCGTTGTTCGTGCAGTGTCTGCACTATTTTTCTAAATGGATCATCGAGAAAAATCAACTTGCCCTTCCAATTAGACGCGAAAGTCGCATGGCACCTATTCATCTTAACGATGTTTATTGCTCAATCCACCAAATCATTTGTGATGAAAATGGTCAACTTCGTGACATGGACAAAGATCATCAAAAAAGGCATTATACTCTTACCGGTCCGGAATCTATCTCCGCCAACACCCTCATTGATATGATGAATGTAGTCACCGACGCGAGAGTTGAATTTATGGAAATTAAACGCAGAGAGTGTGAAGAATATTTGAGATCATGTGAAGATAAACAAATGACCGGGCTTACCAAATTTGGTGATCATGAAGAAAACCGCGAAGACTTGTTCCCTACTCCTCCATGTCCTAACGATACTGAAATCGAGACATTGTAAATTTCCTAATTGATTTATTTTTTCGTAACTAAGTATGATTATTTACTTACCATTTTTTTTATATTTATATTTTATTTTTTTTAATATAAGATGCGACATCTTCGAATACATTAAAAGTGGAAAAGCCAGTTATATTTCCGGAGATGTCCAAAAAATCACCGAACATGAACCCATTCCCGTTATTTGGTTCTTCAAGGTATTATTGTTTCTTTTATGTATAAACATTCCAATGGTATCGTTACTAATGTTTGCTATGTTTGTCCAAAAAAAATAATTTAGAATCATCGTGATGAGTTTAAACCAAAAAAACCTGGCAAAGCTTAATGGATATTTGCCGGTTACGCGTCTTATTACGTATATTATCAGAATGCATTATTTTTGCTGAAAATTTTTTTGCTTTTTATTTGTATTTATTTTTTTCTTTTTGATCTTCTTAACTTGCAAAAATAAATAAAGTTTTTGTCAAAACTTTCATAAATATTTGAAATTTTATTTTGTGAATAAATTTTGTCTCCATATCATCCTGAACACAATGTGTCCGAGTTTTTGATCTTAAATATATATGATAGAATGACTACAATACAGTATATCGATGGCTTATACTATTATTGTCTTACTATTTTCACACTTAGTCTTAATCCAAATAATGTCTTTGCTTAAAATATATCAAATATTTCTACGAAATTAATTTCACGTGAACAGAATAAAAATCATCATTATAAATGATAATAATAATGTCAAATTAATAATAGCATTTCCCATTTCAGAGTAAATCAACATTAGATTAATGTTAATGCTTTTTCCTGCAGATTTGACTTGTTCTCCAATAACTGTAGGTATCACAACTTTCGGATCCGTACCATTAACTTCTGCAAATAAAGTTTTATTTTCTTTATCAGGATTTTGTAAAATTGTAAATGGTCCCGTCATTCCAAACGCTGTATACATTCCACTATTAACAACAGTTTCTGTTTCAATTCTAATGTAAAATATCGAGAAATTCTTTACTATATCTCGATAAAGTAATGGAACATTCCATATGTAATAATCTTCTGTTACATCCGATACGATTTTTTTTGACCAATCATACTTGACTTTTGGTTTTTCAAAGGTTCCTGAAATTTTTGGATTATTATATAAAGTTATTTGAAAGTTCGTTAAGGGTGTATTTGTATTACATTCTGATATTTTTTCCCAACGAATATAAACATTATAATAAGGAAATAGAACTATCCTAGGTGGTGGTGTGGTTACATTTATACAAAAAATCTCATTTCTTGACCAAGGAGCGTGAATATCTAGGGTCTGAGATTTTGTCAAGGAATCTTCATGAGGTGATGTTAACTTTGCCTTGATTGTTTCTGGATCCATTGGGTCACCATCTCTTATGTCATTAGCATAGGATGTGATTGTGACAAAGAGTATTGCGAACATAAATATTAGAGAGTAATGCATTTTTTTTTTTTTTTTTTTTTTATGATTAGGAAATTGTGCTCGTTTCGATGATTATATATGATGAATTTTGTATTTTCGCGTATAGTAGCACAAGAAATATCATAAATCTTCAATAGGCCTTTATATCTGTTTTATTTCAATCAAGGATCAAATTAAATAGATTCATTTCATCACCAATCTCTCATCTTTATAAAATGACTGATTTGATTCAGTTCTTACGTATCAGTGATCGAACATTCCATATATTTATATTATGGATCACACACAAACTCAAAATCCTCAAAATTCCATTTAAATTTCAAATCCTAAACATAGTAAAATTGTCCCAAAAACAAACATCATAAAATCCCAACCTCAAATCCTAATAGTTTTACCAGCGAGTATAATTATATGAATGTTGCCAAGTAAAAAAAACCAAGACGTTTAAAAATAAAATTTTTTAGAAAGCAGAATACGAGCGTGATCAAAAAACTGTCCACATTCTGCTATATAAAGAATTCTATTTTTAGACTTCTGATTTTCACTTGGCGGCACTCGTATGAGCGTTGCGGATAAGTTCAAAGTTATTTATGTAATTGGACCATTCATGTCAATTAGGGCTGTTAAATGGAGTGGCATACTCCGGAGTGTGCTCAACCCAGAGTGGGTTAAAGATATGGAGGGGAGTCAGTAGAAATGGGACAAATTTATTAGATAAATTTGTCCCATTTCTACTGACTCCCCACCATATGTTGGAGTAGGTTGAAGAATAGCTCAACCCAAACTACTCCCATTAACAACTCTAATGTCGATCAAACCGTGATTATTGACCAATCAAATTAATTAAAACGTTCAATACACGAGAGAACACATTGTTATCAACGAAGCTTGGCTCTTTATTAATTGTAAATAAATAACCCTATTTTTGACCATTACCATAGTGATGTATCAAATCGTATGATTTAATAATTATTATTGTCTACAATCAGTTTAAGAACTGAACTTTTTAACTAAACTAGAAAAAGGTCAAACCATCTTGGCAAAAAAAAAAAAAGGGTTTTGGACCTATTATGTTGGTTAACTGAAGATCCACCAGGTCTTGATTAAGACCTGATTATTATACATCTAAAATAAAAAAATCTGTAACGTCATATTTCTCCGGATATGATTTTCCAATTTATGTAACACAATAAAAGTTATTCTAAAAAACCATTTCAACTTAAATTTCATTAACTTGGAAGGTTTTAACGTTAATTTAATTTTATATATCATATCGATATGTAACCAATAATATGTGGTCTAATGGTATTGATTTTTGGTATTATATGAAGTTAAGTTTATTGAAATTTATCGTTATCTTTATGCTTATAGTTTTTTTTGTCTGTAGTCCCATGGTACCGGTAAGGTTATGCAATTTGCTAAAATTGGACTTAGTTATGTATTTCTGTATAAAAAGTTCGCGGTTTGTGAATATTTGGTGTGATTTGCTCAATCTAACTTCTTATTTGTTCTCATTGAAAACGCGTCTAAATTCGTTAATAATTGGAACATTTACTCCATTGTTACGTAATTTATTAAATTGAATCGGAAAGAAACAACCGATATTATTAAATTATCATTATGTCTTCGCTTATACTTAGTCATAACGAACGTTGTGAGGGTCCATGGGTTAAATTACAGTCGGAACCATGTAATCTTCTAATTTTTTAATTGCTAAGCATATTTTTTTTATTTTTTAAACGGTTTGTAAGATAATATTTTTATTTACCTTTTAAAGCTCTCTTTACCGCTTTGATGTATGATTTGGGTGTTAGAGGTGCTAAAGCAACTGAAGTATTTGTTCTTGACCAACAAGATAATTTTGATGACCTTGGGTAATTTTAATTTTAATAAGAGAATTTACGATTCTTTTGATCATTGTTTTGAACAAGTTTTTAATTTTTTTTTAGAGAAATCTACGGTTTGGTTTTTCTTTTTAAGATGATAGGTGATGTAACAGGAGATGTAAAAGGTTTACATAAAGGTACCGATTATGAACCTGTTGAAGAATATCCACCAAACGTCTATTTTGCCAATCAGGTGGTATTTTCAATTCAATTTTGTTATTTTTAATCAATCTTTTCTATTAATTTTATTATATTAATGAAATCTCTTTTAATTTTAGGTGGTAGAAAATGCTTGCGCTACCCTTGCCGTGTTGAATATCATATTGAATTGCCCACAATTAGAGATAGATCAAGAATTAAAAGAATTTAAAGAATTTACTTGGGATCTTCCACCAGCTGTATATTTCATTTGTTAAAAACTATATATATGTATATATATTTTATTATCTTTAAATTGATATTAGACATTAAATTCTCTCTCAAAATGTTATTTCATATATTTAGACTAGAGGTTTTTCCATAACTAATCATCCGACTTTACGTCAAATTCATAATTCAATGGCCCGGTTAGTAATAATATTGAATGAGTTGCTGTGTCTTTATTTATTTATTTATTATTGATTTTTTTTTATACAGACATCCAGAAGATTCGCTGATAGTTGAAGAAGCAAGCAAGAAAAACGGTGGCTCCGAAGATGAAGGCGGTGGTGAAGTTTATCATTATATTGCTTATGTTCCCATTGATGGTGAAGTTTGGCAATTGGATGGTTTATATCCCCATCCTGTTAGCTTAGGTATGCTTACCACATAATATAAATTCTATCATAACCTTTTTTTTTTTTTGTTGACAATTAGATTATTTGTTCATACTAGGCAAATATTCTAACGAAAAACAATGGTACGATGCTGTTCGTGGTGTTATTCATGAGCGTATTGACGGGTAAGTGTTATTTTAACTTGTAGGGTTTATCATATAGTAGTATTTTAACTGTCTTATTTTACAGATTTCAAGCGGAACAAGTAGAATACGTTCTTCTAGCTATTACTAAAGATCAAATAGGAATTCATCAAGATAGAGTTAAAGATTGTATGTACATCAAAAAGCTTGCAGAGAAGAGGTTGGATGAGCTTAATAATGCTTGGAGAGAGATCAATACCGAAGATGTAAGTACTATTTATTTATTTAGTAGTAATTATTGATGAATTTTTATCATTCATTGATGACTATATGATGTTTTTATTTATTTATTTTTGTATTCTTAGGTCGATTTTTCTTTTACTGATGATGATGAAGAAAAGGTTAAAAAGCGTGGGAATTATGTGATCGATCTTTCGACTTTGACTGCGTATCATGATGATATCGAAATGATTGAACAACTAAGAGCCAAGATGATAGATGAAATTAAATTTTTGATTGAAGCTATTGATAGAGAAAATAAGTTGAAAATGGTAAATTTTTGATAAATCATATCTAGCTTCACTGGCTTCATCGGCTTATAATTCAACCTATTTTTTTAAAAAATTTTCTTTTTAGGTTGAGAGAGAAAGACGAACTTTTGATTATGGTCCATTTATACGCGAATTTATTTCAATTCTACATGAACGAGGGGAATTGAAAAGCTTGATTTCGGCAGCAGACGACATGATAGAAGATGATTAAGATGATCGTGATTTATGCAATTTTTTTTTTTTTATCAAAGGCTTTATGTTGGCCAGTTAGACTGTTCTTTATTAAAGATTATGTTTTTTTACATGTTATATTTATTCTTGCTAAAAATTTTTATTTGGCTATATATATATAGTTTTTGTTAGATTACTATGTATTTTATTTCGACAAAATAGTAGCTGTCGATAAGTTCAAAATTTTCCCGACTATTAATAAAAACTGATACCATTTATTATTATTTTCATAAATAGAAATATCTTAAAGATCACTTGAATTGATTACTATCGAAAAAAAAAACTTTATTTTAAAATGTTCAATAAATACTTTAGTTATCGGACAAATCACTATTAAACATAACACTAAATAGATTATATTTTTTTAACTTTATAATTTTTTTTAAAAAACTTTATTAACTTTATTATTCATTTTTGAAATTTACATAATTATATAATTACGACTTATATTCAAAAAAAAAAATTATTTATTATTGAATTATTTACATTTAATAAACTTCAATATATTAAAAACAAAAACTATAATAGCGAGATACTTTGTTTCGGAAATTGACTCTCCTACTTGTCCCAACCACCACGAAGAGGTGTATCTCGTTGGTTGGGAAGGCGAACCCCAACCCATTTCTCCTCCACCGGTACTAGTCGTGGCTCGGTTCCCGGCTTCGGGCGGGTTGTTCCCTTGAATCATTAATACTTGCGTATTTCATCAAGTAGCTTTGACTCAAGTTATCCTCTAAGAGCTCGAGAGACCCCATACATCAAGTCACCAAAAATACGACGAAGAGACAGCCGACGAAAACGAAGCACCAAAGCGACGAAAAATAAAACGGCATCGACAATCTACAAAAAAAATCTAGAAAAAATTTTTTTAGATAAAAATACATGCAAAAACTGAAAAGGTTAAAAAGCAAAAAGAAAAAGAAAAAAGGAAGCTTTATATATATTTTATCAACGTGTTTACTGTTTTGAGATCTGCGTAAATCAAGTAAAAAACGTGTTTCAAAACCAATCAGAAATTTTAAATGTGATTCATAAACATAATTGGCGACATCACGCGAGCGTTACTAGTCGTCATGTAGAAAGAATAAAAATGGTCGTATTATTTATCGTATTGTAAAAATGACGGATTATTGGATAATAACTGTTTACTACAATCATGTTTTTTAGACAATTCCCTTCTATGTCAAGGTTATGTCTAATATAAAAGTATCAGTAAAAGAGAAAATGCACCGTCCAGCAAGTGTAAATCGAGGTTTGATTTCAGATAAGTTGAATTTTTTTATACGAAAACTTTACGCACGAGAACCGAATATACTCTAAAAAAACAATTTAGGCCAATTAAATCAAACCTCATTGTCGTTATGCTTTTAGTGATTGAAATGTTGATCAAAATGACTTATTACACAACGACCATCTTTTTTTTTTTTTTTTAAAAAAAAAAAAAATCTCGTTTTATACATTTACATGATATGTCACGAATCGCGAAAGTAACATTAGTCTCTATGTTAATTTTATCAACAGGAACTATATTTGGCGTTCATTATCTTCAAAAAAAAGAGAAAGAGGTAAACATTATCAATATTATTTAAATAATTTAATCATGTTTAACGCCTGTTTGTGTTAAGGTCATGCACGCAGGAATAAAAAGAGATAAAGAACGTAAACGCGAAAAGTTGATGCAAAATCAGTTAGAACATGATCGACAAGTTATGTTACGAAAAGAATATGAAAAAATTCAACCCGTGTTACAAAGTGAAAATGAGAAATCGAAATAAAATTTTGAATTGTTGATATTTTATATTATTGGTTAACATTATTTAAATTTTATTAATTTATTACTAAAATTAAATTCTTTTTTTTTTTAAAAAAAAAAACCATAAAAAAGACACCATCTGACCTTAATCTGATATTAATGTCTGGCCTATAAATAATAGGTTAGTTCGTCCAAAAATTAACAATATAAAACAATTTTCGACAAACATTTTATTGAATTTCAATTGCCATTTTCTCCTAACTTTCGACCAACTTGAATTTTTTGTTCTGATGTTGCACAAAATTTAAAATTCAATGGAGCTTCAAATATTAGTACAATGGTGGAACCCAAGCAAAATCCACCGATTTCTTCGCCAATTCTTAAAGGTTTTCCACCCAGGAGCTTGCTAGCATTTTTATAAGACATTTCTGTATATGTCCCAACGGGAGTATCTTCTTTTTGATTCGTACGAAGAACCTGAAAGACAATTTGTAAACCACGAAAAAACATCATATCTTGGTTTTCCACCTACTACATGAAAATAGTTTAAATACCTGATCAAAATTAATCTTAATTGATCCAACATTAGTAGCACCAACTGGTATCATTGCAAAAAAACCATGTCTCCATCTTCCTAGTAACGCTACCCGTTCATTCAAGACAAACAAATCCGGTAACAATTTTAACATGTATGGTGACACGGAAAAGAGTTCACCTGAAAAAAGTAATCTTGATCGCATAATTATAACTAAATTTCTCGTGTTAAGTATAAACTCAAGAACATACCTGCAAAATGACGTCTTGACTCAACAACCCAATTTGTTGGAGAATGAAATCTGTGATAATCTCCAGGAGCAAGATAAATCACACAAAAGAAAAGCCCATTTCCTTTTTTAATTGTGTGCCATTTATGAGTGTTATTAAGCAAAATGTCTGTTACATTTTTCGAAATGGGGTTTTCTTTTTTTTGTTGATCTACTTTAGTTGGATCTGAATCATCACCCAACAAAGAGTCCAAAGAATATGTAATTCCATTAATATTTGCAAATTCTTTTTCATCGACAATATGAGTTGATTTAACAATGTTGTCTATTTGTGCATTTTTAATGTTACCACTCCCTAGCAGTGCACTTAATGTATAAGAATTTCCTTTAATTTGCTCTACCTTTTCATCGGTTACTAATCCAAAACTAAGAATTCTGCCGTCAGCGGGTGATACCTAAAAATGTATTAAAAAAAATATATAAGAATAAAAATATTTGACAAAGTTAAAAAAAAAAAAAGCTTACAAGGATAGCATTATCTATTTGTCGCGAACCAGGTTTTAATGATCTATAAAAAAAAGAGCCTAAATTTGGATAGGCCTTAAGATCAGGGTTTTCAATTTCATCCAAATTACAATCAAATATCCAACTATAGAATTTATAAAAAGGTTCTCTCATCCAAACAGGTAAATTATATTCATTGTTAATTTTTCCCCATAATCGAGATAATGCTCTAAGTGGAAGTGTGTCTAGAACATGAACCTAGAAAGAATTAATTAAATAATTAATCAAGCGTATAAATAAAAATTAAAAAGTAAAAAAAAAATCTATAATTGTTTTCTTCTTACCTGCCAAGGACCATGTACGGGACGTTTTATCACTTGATCATTTGTTTTATTTGTTTCGTGTTTATATTTATAATTTAAAGCTTGAAAGGCAATAACAGTAATACCAATGCCTATAGCTGTTAGGCGAAACCATTTGCGTGAATGGCGAGAATGGAGACTCCTAGGTGAAACGGAAAAGCTCCGGCGAAAGACGAAACCCCTGGTAAAAGGTGAAGCCCCTGGTGAAAGGCAAACCCCCTGGCGAAAGGCAATATCCCTTCTCGATGGCGAATCCTCTGAAGAAAGTTGATGCCTTTGAAAATGATATCCTGAGAAAGGTCGAATTATGTTTGTAAATGAAAGATGTATAGCGTGGTGGTTAGTGTTAGCCATTAAACACAGAAGTGTGGCTTATATGATAGACTTTTTTTTGATTATCGTTATATTATGCCGGAAATCTATAATCGTCAATCACGGGAATGTTATCCAATTAAACTACAAAATCTTGAATAAATTGTAAGTCGTTTGTGGGATAATGGAGCAAACAAAGGGCTCCCTTACTGTACATTCTATTCCAAGGTTACCGCATCATATGGATAGCATTATTATAACTTTTTCTACTATTTTTCATTATTAAAATGAAATTGGATTTTAACACTTAAACATTAGCACCATTTAGGTTGTAAACCATTTTTGTATTTAGTGTTCCACAAAAAGATTCGAACGGATCCGGAATTTTTAATGAGTATTAAAGTAGCATTTACAAAGAATACTCGAACTAAATCTGTACATATAATTAATATAGGAAAACATGCTACCGGCAACAGGCTCTACTTGTCTCTCACATGTTCCTGTAACAGGCTCTACTTGTCTCTCACATGTTCCTGTAACAAGTAGCAGTCTCTCAAACTCGCCGCATAAACCGGATCCGAATGAAAGACATGCTACTGGCGATAGAAGCATGTGAGAGACAAATGGAATCTACTGCTAATAGTGTATTTTCTATATTAATTATGCGTTCAGCTTCCAGTTCTGGTATCCTTTATGAAATGCTAAATTTATACCCATCAGAAATACTGTATTTATGTTTTGATATTACATCACAGATGATGATCTTGTAACCCGAAGCAAACATATTCCTAATACTATATCGAATTAGCTATATCGAATTAGCTATGCGATGCATAGATCATGATTCGAAAAAACGGCCTAGTTTAAAATTCGACATATTACTGTGCTTTTTGATAAAAGGAAGATGTTACAAGTAAAGCAAATCAAACCTTTGCAATAAAAATTACAAGTAAATTAAAACCAAAACTAAAAAAAAAAACTTAAATATGATCCAAGAGTTTTCTTCTAATTGATATTTTATATTAAATTAATTAATAACGATAATATATATTATTAATAGTATCACCTATATAGTTGATACTGTCTAAATGCATACTGTTTAATTGTATATACTGTTCAATTTCCTAACAAATGGTTTGCAATTAGACGGTATTGATTATATATTAAAAGAAGAAAAAAATTAGTAAAAAAATCAAAATTTAACAGATTAATTCAAATCTAATAAAATGGTAATTTGTATATAAAGTAAAACTACTTATATGATAATTTTACTAAAGCGATAGTATATTTAACTGATATTCTTGTTTAATGTTGACCTAATCATAAACCCATTATGATACATTTGTAAATTACTTCAATTTTGAAAATTTTGATTATTATATATAAACGGTTTTACTAAAACACACCACTAGTGTTCAACATCAGTGTTTTGTATAATATAAACAAATAATAATAAATAAAATACAATTAGTAGTTAAAGATTAGGATAAAATGTAATACATTTTAGTAAAACTAATATATAAATATACAGTAATTTATTATATTATTATGAATACTTTTTATAAATAAACATAGTATTAAGTTAAAAATTATACGCATATCTAATTTTTTTATAAGAAATTACTTAAGGTTACATTTCAAATATAAGAAATCTATAAAAGGATTTTATATAAAGATTTATTAAAATTATTTTACATCAATATAGTATAATTGTATAATAAATTATTTTGTCTTTATAGTTAATATCAAAATTATAAATTGTATTGAATTACAGTAATTATCACATTTATCTATATATATTATTAATTGATGATTAATGCAGAAATAATGTGATAGTATAGAATTACAAAATCTAGTAAATTAATTTTGACATCAACTATATATGTCTCATCGAAGAAAACAAAAAAGATTTAAAAAGAAGGATTAATGAGATACAAATAACACAAGAAACAATGTCATTAATTATAGATGTTATCTATAATATGTGAGATTTATAAATTCAAAAAAAGAACTGTTTGAAACTGTGAAAAATTGCGCTAGAGATTTAGTCGCATAGTTTAACTTTAAGCTACAAGATTTAACCGTTTATAAATCGGTTAAACGACGATTAATCATTTAACCATCTATTAATCTGTTTATCGTTTATTAATCGTTTAAACATTTAATAATCGTTTATTCATTTAACTGCTTATTAATTATTGCTGGGGATGATGCTGAAGCTGGAAATTTTAGTGATAATTTAGATCCATAAAAACCTACTAAAACCTACTTGTACTAAATTCTACCCATAAAGCTGGCCCTAACCTTAAAAGAAAGTCAAAAAAATGCACCCCAAAATTTTAAATTTTCATAATAAAATAGGTCAAATTTTCAGCTTCACAATTATTTAAGCGTTTATTGAAATCAAATTATACGTCGCATTATATCTTAATTACCCAGTGGTTTTAACACCACGAAGTAATGAACTTTCACAAGCCATTGATAAACTTACTTTATACTATCGTAGCATAATAAAGTTACGGCAAAAATGCCGTAACTTATTATGGCCATTACATATTTACAGATAGTTAATCGACAATTTACGGCAATTCGCCTGCATCACTACTACGTATCGATATACATTTGATTAATAATCATTATTACATGTGTGAAAGTTCTGTAAATCGTGCTTTTGTGAATATATTTTTTTTATCTTAAAAAGCCGAATTTTAATTTTATTCAGTAAGGCGATTCAAATGATATTAAAATAATAATTATTAAGTTATATGGTTTAAAATATTTTTACGTATTAAAAAGTAAATATAAAAAAAGCATGTTTTACAGGTTTTCACAGATTGCCACTCATTTTACCATTCGCATATTTTTTTTTTGCCTCCACATAAGGCATTAAACGAACATTAAAATGATTAATATAAAATTTAAAACATGGATAAGGAAATAATTTAACGGTTTTTTAATCGGTTATACGTACGTAAAATTGTTTACTCGTTTAACTGTATAACAGTAAAATATAAATAAACAATTACAGTTCCAATCCTTACTATATACAGTATCATAAATATTCAAAAATTTATTGAAAGCTTTCTTATGTCTAGCGCATATTGCAAAGGTCATCTATGCTAAAAAAAAGAATAGTTAGAATCTGGTTCTTAAAAAAATGTCAGTATAGATCAGATTTAAACTCAAGGGATTTATATAATGAGCCCTATTAATATTGGAAACAAATAACACATATCCATCCGTGTTACATATTTATGTACCCATGCAGGGTTGACTCAAAATTAACCCGACAATTTTGTAGAACTACTTTCGTAAATCTTGTTACAAAGTTCAAAGATGTTACAGAATAAAAACACAGGAATCACTATTTTATAGTCATTCTTTTTTATGAAATTTTTAATCTTTATTAAGTACTAAGTAATGATATCAATGTTATCAAGCAGTTTGTTGGTACACGGTTAGAACACAGTGAACTGCTAATTAGATGTAATACGTAGATATCGATATTCGGAAGTTTATTAAGCTCATAATTGACTACGTATAACGATAACAACTATAAAAGTATTAAGAATCTAAAATCCAGCAAGTACAAATGTTATACGAAATATGCATGAATCTAGTTTTTTTTTTTCATAAAATAAATCTAAAATTATCCGAAAATTTTACAAATTTCAGGAGAAATAGTTTCGATTTTTGAGTAACTGGGGTAGCGATCCGAGTTTTAAACTTTATTTAACTGTCAGATGTCTTTTTTTTTTGATAAATTTCAAGATTACTAACAAAGTTAATTGGATAGTTCATATTGAACAGTGTTATTTGCATACATACTTACATACCTTCGTTTAAGACAAAGAACAGCCTATTTATAGAAGCTACATGTATGTATAGATGTTTCCTTTTGATTGTTATATTTCTTAGTGATAATGGATCGATATATAGTAAATCATATTACAATAAATTAATAAATTATATATATCGATACTTATTGGTAAATTATATACCTTATACCTTATCCATACGTATAAGATATATAACTTGGTCTGCTACTACAATATCGAGAATAACATAACATTCAATTAAATGACCAAAATTGGACTTATCATTCATAAATTTAAGGTTAACTCTAACACTAATGATATCTAATGTAACATTAAACATGTCTATCATTTTTTATTCTTTCTACTAATTAGGTAATTTACAAAACATATGATGGATGGTTGGTCCAAGTGCATCGAATGACAAATACAAGCAAACAGTTGCAAACAATGCAAATGAGTAAAACCATGTACACTGTATGTAACAGTATGGTAATTCAGAGTTTCTTAACATTACTGATTAATTGTTAATGTCTTCTTAGCATTAAGAATAACAATAATAATAGCTATTACGTACCAGTACTTATTCTTTATTCATAAATTTTTATTATTGTTCAAATTCATAAGTTTCACACCTACATTTCTATGTACGTATATACATTCTTCTGCTGGTGATTATCCATAATATTTCTATTTATTTTTATATTTATTTTCTATTTATTTTATTAGATTTACATGATTAACAAGTTAATTTTCTCATACTTTTTTTTAGAAGCAAACATTTCTGAATAAGAATTAATTATGGTAATGACTATAAGTTTAAAAATCTATATAAGTAATAGTAATTATATCCCACCATGATTCGATAATCATTTGCGATCGATACGTATGTGTTTTTGATATCCATACGCTTGTATAAAGAAAGATTAAGGAGTTTGATACACTGATCCTGTTTTACAATATAATCCAATAAATCACTTCAAAAACATTTTATTATTGCTGTCCTAATCACACTAATTACACTAATTACACGTAACAGTTACATTAACAGTAACACTAACAACAACATCAATGCATCAAAAAAAGGTAAGTGTACAAAAAACGCACTTAATAAGGTAGTGTTCATTTAAAATTATGTTGGATTGGTACATATTTCGTGCCGTTTATTTCACTGTTTGTTTATTTGGTGCCTCATTTGTCGGATTTCGTTTTAAATTCTCCTTGTAATTTCATCCCGCTACCTTGCGGGTTGTTGCATTCATTTCATTTCATTTTCTTTTATTATGCATTTACGTCACTCATAATATTATTAAAGTAGTCGGTTAATTCATTCTGGTTTTTTTTTTGTTTGAATGCATGTCAGGTTACCGATACTACTTTCTTAATTTTATGTAAACCTTTTGGTGATTTTAATGATTTTAATGGTCCGTGGCCTTTTAAAAATCTATTCACAATTAGGTTGAAGAACTATTGAATTAAATTATTTTTACATAAATATTTATTCATTTTAATATCCTTTAAAAAAATGTCTGCATCAACCTCCACTTTATCGTCTTCTCCCACCATCATATCTAACGATGACCAAAATAAATTAATCGTTGTTCAACCTAATGATCCACTTCTAACTCTTCCCCCTTTTCCTTTTAAGCCTAATCATTCTTTTAATGTCATCCATAAAAACAATTTATTAGATGCCATTCCATCTTCTCATGTAGATTTGGCTATTACTCCTCCTCTAACTCCTCCTCATACCTCTATGAACACTCCTGCAAGATCCCCAAATAATTATTACTTTGAAGGTTTTGAAGATGTTTTGACTTCATATGATTCTTCGCCCTCTTCATTAAATACTTCTGATGGTCTTATAAATTCAAATTTAATTACTCCTGTAACCGATCTCTCTTCTTTACCGAGCGATGATACTAAAAGTAATAATAAAGGTGAAATCTGTGTATTCACTCAAGTGTCTACCACAATAGCTACTGTTCAACAATCTCCTATTCCTCGATCAAAATTTTCAAAAAAAAAACCTCAAATTCGTTCCTATACTTCTCCTCATGTTAAAGTTACAAAATCTTCGGATCAAAGCAGCTCGGACAACACTGCTGTTTCTAATTTAGAAATTGATCCATACCTTGATTCATCTATATCTGCTACTACTTCTGACATAGAAAAAGATAGTTCTAAAACAAAAAATCATTCTAATTCTTCCGATTCCATAACTTTTGATGGAACTTTGCTTACTGATTACGCAATGGAAAATCCTAAACGTAATAAAGAATATCACTCATTTTTTAAGAGTGTTCCAAATGATGAATATCTTTTAAATGGTAATACTATCACTATCACTATCAATATTCGTAGAATTTTTGGAATCAATAACATCATATTATTTAACTTTTTTTCAGATTTTGGTTGCGCATTACAAAAAGAAATTCTAGTACAAGGAAGAATTTATGTTTCTCTGAATCATATTTGCTTTCATGCAAATATCTTGGGTTGGGTCACTGATGTAATTTTCAATTTTTTTTTATTTCTTCTTAAAATCATTATAAATGTTAAGAACTTCATACATATATATTATATACATATATATTTAATACTGCATTGTTGCTTTAAAGGTTGTGGTGCCGTTTTCCGATATAATAAGAATTGAAAAAAAGTCGACTGCTATTGTAATTCCAAATGCGATTTTAATAACTACTATCAAATCAAAGGTATACTTACATTTGTTTTTTTCCTGTGTTTGAAATCATTGTTTGTAATCTTTTCTATAACTTTTCTATAATTATTTTCATCAGTATTTGTTCGCTTCATTCATCTTTCGCGATGTTGCATATGAATTATTCGTAAAACTATGGCAACGTGTAAATTCCACTTATGGTCACAGTCCTTGTTTATCAGAGGGTGGCTCCGATTATACTACTGTTAGTCAAACTTCTCGTTCTATAAATAACATTAGTTACAATAGTAACTCTTATAATTCGAGTACTGATTCTGAACCTACTAAAGATTCTGAGTACGAAAAATGTATGTCTTCTCTTTAATTAATTAATTAATTAATTAATTAATTCATTCATTCATTCATTCATTCATAAGTTCATAAATTCATTGATTCATTCATTCATTCATAAATTCATTCATTCATTAATTCATTTACTAATTCATGTTATTATTGTTTACTTTTTTTCAATAGCAAAGTCTCGTAATGGAAAATTCTCCTTACCACGATTAAATTTGATGTCAAAACAATCCTCTCGTAATTTTGACCAAAGTGATAAATCTATCGTAAAAGATGCGAATACTAATAGCCCACTACAAAGCCTTTCTTCGACAAATATTAAAGATTGTCCCTCTGTAAATGATGCAAATAATATTAGTGACAATGGAAATATGTCAGAGTCTAATTCAAAAAGGAAAATCCCTCCTACTTTGAGTATTTCAATACCAAAAATTTCATATCGACAACAAACCAATTCCTCTAATGAAACCAGGCAACCTAAAGAAACAATATGTAAATGTCTTAAACAAAATGATCACTCTACATTTGTAGCATTAGATACAAAATACTCTGGTAGTGTTGAAAGTATTTATACTATCTTATTTGATAGTAATTTTGTACCTGAATTTGTGAGAAAGCTTGAGAACAATAATGATACCGAATTTGGTGAATGGTCAACTAATGAAAATGGTTGTATGACTAGGGATTCTAGTTATACTAAGAGATTGGATAATGCTATTGGTATTGGTATTGGTATATTCTATTTTTATTTCTTTTCATAGTTATTTACCCATTTTAAAATTTCTGTGAAACTAACTTTTTGTTTTTATCTAGGTTTAAAGAGTACAAAATGTTACCTAAAAGATGAAGTTTTGTATAAAGACTTTGATGAGTATGTCCCTTTCTTTTTATTAAAAGTTTTTTTACATTCTTATTAAATTTTTTTTTTAATAATAATATATATTTTTCTTTTAAATAGTCACGCAACTGTAATTACCACAACTAAAACTCCTGACGTCCCATCAGGAACCTCGTTTTGTGTAAAAACTAGAATATGTATTATGTGGGCTGGTGCGAATAAAACTCGTGTTATTGTTACAGCATGTGTGGAATTTTCAAAAAAAACATTTTTAAAAGGTTTGTTATTTATACTCCTTAAGTTTCCCTCATAATTATTATAATAATTATATAACCATTTATAATTCTTTAATAATTCTTTATTTATAATTAATTTTTATAGTACCAATAGAAAAGGGCTCCATGAATGGTCAACTCCTTTATTTTAAATCATTAGATAAAGCTCTTCGAAAACACATTTTACCAAAAAACATCGATTTTATAGAACATCCTCTTTCAAAAGATGATGACTCCATGACAAGACAACAATCAAAACCACATTCAATTCGTTCAAAACGTATTTCAAGTCAACATTCTATTTCCTCTTTCTCCTCACGGATCTCATCTCATCGATCTTCACAAATAAATTTACACTCCCGAAAATTACAAAATGAGGATGAAGAAATTAACTTATTACAATTAATCTTATCTACTTCAATATCAATATTATCTCAAATATTAGAGACTATATTATGTGTTATTGGAAAATTGAGATTACCTAATTTGGAAACTTTGTTAATTTGGGTTTTACTACTTAGCTTCGGTGTAAATATATGGATTTGGATTAGCATGAGAGACATTAATTATAAAATTGAAAATATGGTTCAACGGCAAAAAATTGATTTCAAATTTCATAAGAAAATTGAAATGAATGATAATGAAATGTTTATAAGGAGGTATTTACTTACTGAAGAAATTAGTGATAATATATTTGATGTGGAAGGTTTCGATAAAATTTTAGATCATATTTCTAAAAAAAATTAATCTCTTTCTTTCTTTCTCTCTCTCTTTTTTTTTTCTTTTTGTTTGTTTACAAAAAAAAAAAAATTATTTTTTGTTTGATTATAATTATACATACATTTACAGTGCAGTATATACACATTCTTTCATCGTTTAATGTAATTTTATTTTATTGATTAATTTTATTATTATTTTTTTTTTGGTTATATATTTAACTGTTTTTTTTCTTTTTTCTGTTAAAAAAAAAAAGTTCATTAAAAGTTCTTTAATTTATTCAAATTTTTACTTTGATTAAAACTTGTCACTCTAATTTAAATAACAAATAATTTTTTAAATTATTTTAAAAATTATTTTTTAAATTATTTTAAAAATTATTTTTTAAATTATTTTAAAAATTATTTTTTAAATTATTTTAAATTTTTAAAAATAATTTTAGGAACAAAAAAAAATTGTTACGTACTATTACGTGTATGCATTTACGAAAACATCATCAGTAAAAATCAATACATGAGTGAAAGAGCGTAATTACTGGCACATGTAAAAAAATGATAACTAATAAGATACCAATATTCATCTCTATTGCTACCAGATTTTTTGGTATCAATCAGAATAATATTGTAATATTGTCGTGATTGAAGTTAGCATCTGAAACTACTAACGCGGGCAAGGAAGATCTAATTTCAGGGGTTAATTTTAGTTAAATTGCTTAAATTGGTAACTTAACTATTGACCCCAAAATTTGGCATATCTATTTTACATGTGATCATTCAATTAAAAATCAACACTCATAATAATATATTATCCAACTTTACCTATCTCAATTATATGTATATTCAAGTTACCATTTAAATTGTAATTACTATGACAGATTGACAGATACTCTGTAATATTCTTGACCAACAATTTTAAAAAAAATTTCAAAGGTCACTAGTGTATTTTTATTTTATGACAAAGATAATTTGTGGCTTTTCAAATTATTATATATCCGTTCCCAGCTGGGTTGATACTTTATACGATATGAGTGTTATTTCAGAATGCGCATGAGTGTTATTTTGAAATCGATTTTTTAATTAATGCTTATTTCCGTTATTTCGTACAAAGTACAACTCACTCTCGTTATAGTGAAGTCATCGAACTTAAAAAAAAAATCTTCACCATAACTTATATTGAGAGAATACTTATATCGAGAGAATACTTATACGTACTTCACTATATTAAGTTGAAGTTTAATAATTCCGTAATTCAAAATTCTTCACTATATCGAATCTTCACTATATTGAGAGTTCATTATAATGAGAGTGAGTTGTATTTAAGTCTTCATGAAAGTGATAGTATCATTAATAAGTCCTGTATATAGAAATTAATTCTAATCAAATCGCTTATTAATAATTTGTAATTTGAAACCTTTTTAATTTTTTAAAATTAAAAAAAAACTTATTGTAGAATTATCAAAAAGAATATAAGTACAAATTGTTAAAAGTTAATATATAATAATTTTTTTAATTAAAATGTAACTATAATAACTGAATTTAATAACGATAATTAGCTTAGTGGATCATTAATATTTTTAATTCTTTTTTATAACTATAAGGTGAAGTGAGGTATTATGACGCACTTAAGAGTTGCTTATATAAAAATTTCTAGAAAAAATATATTTATTCTTGAAAATTATTAAAATAGATTATTTATCAAATTAACTATCTGCCAATAAAAAAACCAGAAATATGACCTTTCAAACTCTACTTTAAAAATGTTTATGTTTTTAACATTTGGAGGGTTATTATAGTGCACATTGAATATGTTAAATTAATATTAATACAGTATTATATATGTAGAAATTTATACATAAACATACAGATAAGTATAGCATAGCATAACTACACATGATCATCTTTTTTTTTTACATAACTGTTTTTTTTTGGCTTATTTTTTTTCTTTTTTTTCATCTTCCTAATTAGCTTATTTCTGGATTGCTTCCTCTTTTCTTTTTTTTTGTATTTGCTGCTTTACTTTTTACTAATTCATTGGCTTCTTTTAAAACATTTAAAGAATCTTTATTAATAAAAAGTTAGGCAAATGATAAAGTTTTTTATCTTTTTTTATTAATTTAATTTCTTTTTTTTGGTTTATATTAAAACTTAAGAAGTAAAATACTTAAGAGTTAGTTTTAATTGAACCCAACCAGGCCATCAGAATTGCTGGATTCCAGAGGAAAAAGTTACATGCTAGCAAACATGTAAACCAGAAGTGTATAGTTTCAACTTGTTTTTCTGGACTATTAAGTTTGGCAGCTTGGTGGAACTTGAATTGAATACCAAAGTAGTAGAGATATGTTGTAAAATCAGTACTGGGGTTGAGATGAACTCTACAAGGGCATAACAGTTTAATAGTATGTCCTAACCACTAGTGTTGGTCTCAGTTATAGTGATATCAGATTAGTTGTAAGAATGGGATACAGAAGATTCTGAAAGATTTAGTATAAGATCAAAGGTTTCCTATATGAATAAACTGCTTTAAAAACTTAGTAGTCATAACATATTTTTACCAGTATCAGTCAGGGTCATTGGTAGACAGAAGTAAATAGATGGACACAGAAACATAGTGGTTAAATAGGGAACCTACAAGCAGGTTCCAGGTATAGTAACTAATATAGAACCTTCAGGCAGACTACTTAAATTATACAATGACTAAAGTTGTATGAATGACTAGTTATACACTCTTCTCATGATTGTTCTCTGTAGTTATGAAGCATCTATTAGTCAAATATACTATCAATAAAATCCTGAATCGCAAGTAATTACCTTAATATTTAAAAAAAAAAAGTTAGTTTTAATAAGCAAGTATCAGGATTTTTAACTATTTCAAGTTTTTCTTTTAGTATTAATTTTTTTTTTTAGAATATGGATTTTAATTTCTAATAATATTCTTTTCAGTAATTTTAATATATATAAAATAATTTGAAGAAAACAGTATATAAGAAGATAGTATAAAATAAGAAGATATAGAAAAAGATAGTATAAAAAAGATAATATAGAAAAAGACAATGTAGAAAAAACAGTATAGAAAAAGACTATAGAAAAAAATAATGTTAAAAATAGTATAGAAAATAATATATAGAAAAAAATAATATAAAATAATAATTATTTTGTTAAGAAAATAAATATAAGATATTGTAATAAAATTTACTAAAAACTATCAAGCTGTAGCAAATTTTAAAGTGATGAAAGTCGAGTAAAAGATCTTTTATTTAAAGGAAAATAAAATAAAAGAAAAGAAGAAATATAAAAATAAATAAAATAAATAAAAACAAC